TGCTAGCGGATAAAATATTTCTGGTAAAAACATTCTTCTCACTACGAGCTACGGACCACCGATTGATCTTGCGTAAGTGTAGGCTGCTGTTTGATAAGTTAGGACGCGTATGATACGGCTGATACTCACCGACGCTTATAATTGTCTCAAGAAATATGAAACGTCCGAACAAACATGAATCTGCCTGCGGTCAAATCTATGATCAACAAGTGACAGAAAAATTAGATGCGGCACTTTAAAGTCGAGTGACAAAAGTCAGAACAAAAGTGCATCCTGCGATTCTCGGTAAATTATGAAACTTGGATTATTGTTAAGATGGGAATACCAAGCACCGTTGTATTAGAAATCTGTCTAACCGACCAATCAACAAATCCGAACAGCAAATTCTCATCAAGGGATCATAAGAATAATTTCGGTGCAACAACCACCGATTTTCTGGCAACATTCAAAAGCGCCTGAAATCCAAAGGATTTGGTGAAGAGACGCAGAAGTCAATAAGATACACAGGTTGTCCCATTATAACAGGCAATAAAGTACCATAACTAGGCATGAAAAACAAACAAAAAACAACACACGAAGCAATTATTATCCTACAGGAAGACAAAGGACCGATGACTGTCACAATGGACAACGTGTATTACAATGCGAAAACTATACTTACCTTGAACGGTATAGCAGCTTATAAGTGTAATGACAATGATCCAACCTCGAAGCTGACAAACAAAATAACCAGTACATTTAAACAGCTTCATTAATTGAAACAATTCACGAAAGAGGAGTACGAAAGAATGAAAGTACGCGATTGGAACATCGTGCACTTCTGAGGACTCCCGAAGGTGCACAATGACGGTGCAACGCTGCGGCCGATAATGCCGATTCCCGGGAAACCCACCTAAAGCTCATCGAAAGAAATGTGGACAAGCCTCAAGCAACTGACTGCTGGATTGCTGTATTCCATAAAAATTGCACAGGTATATGAATTGATAATGATGAAACAACATTCGACGTGACTGCAGCCGGAAACAGATTTAATGCTGGAATTGCCAGTAAGAATTTTCGCGAACTGTAGTGTACCGGAAAACACTGCCTTTCAGTATTTTACAACCTTGGATTTTTCCGATGTTTTAACTTTCGACACGTCCACTTGTTTTACTGACGGCATATCCGTTGACGAATTGTTTTGGTGAGTATCTTGCTGCACCATTTCGCGCTCTGGTTGATTCGCTTCCTATTATTGTAGCCCACACAACACACGTTGGATTCAGTCGCCTCCAAACTATACTGTCCTCTATTTGACACATCTCTTAGGTGTTTTTGTTTACGGACTAGTATGCCAGGAGCCGCCCAATGATTGGTGACCCCGGTCCAGAACACGCTGTCCGCAATTTTGAATTTTCATTCCGGTGAGCCCGTTCCCGTGACGTCTTGATTCGTTACTGGCTATCGTTTTAGTTTCTAACCTGCGGCAAATAGTTTTTCATTTCTCACGATGAATAGTTCAGATGCAAAACCATCTACGTACATGGTTAACTGCATAGAACTAGTATCCCCACCTGTTTTGAATAATGACCCGTTATTATGGTTTGCGCATTTAGAATCCATCTTTTAAAATCGTAGTATTTATTCTGATGATGTTAAATATCGTCATCTTGTGCCTCGACTTCCGCAAAGCTTATTCTCCTACGTGAGAGACTACATAGCTTTCCCGCTCTCGATGTGGAATATGAGAATTTAGAGCACGCGATATTTCAGAGAATCACGCCTTCTGGCCGGGTCCGTCTGCAGCAATTATTTAGCGATCCTCAACTAGGCGATAGGATGCCGTCAGACTTGTTGCGCGAAATGCAGCAACTCATGGACAAGTCCAACATGGACGTAGAGATTATCTGCCAGCGGTGAATGCAACGCCTCCCCGAAAGCACTCACGCCATCTTTGCATTAGCAAGCGACTTGCCAGTCACAGCAATTGCGGATCTAGCAGACCGCATCATCGAAGGACACTAATCAGAAACTAAAACCGTAGCACCTAAGCAGTGTCGTGCTGGCGCAACCCCACCGACACCAGAGACTAACTAGCCGTCAACAACCGACGCATTATCATTGCAGGTAGCGTCGCTTCAGCGCCAGATCGAGTAGTTCACTTTAAACCGTAAGCACCGCAGGCGCTCTGGAGCGTTGCGCCGCTGCACAAAACCTGATGCCCCATGTTGCTGCTTTTACCACTCGCGTTTGGGCGACAAAACCCGTAAGCGGATACAGCCATGTAGTTACTCCGCTACAGATGATACTCCAAAGCCGGCTTCTAATGCCCACCAGCGACTTAGGCAAAACTCAAGCGGCCTCATCTACATTAGGGATTTGGATTCCAAAACCCAGTCCTTAGTTGATATCGGGGCGGAAGTCAGCGCCCTTTCACGTATTCCAGGTGAGCCAGCTTTTACATTGTCGACAAGCCGAAGTGCCGCCAATGACATGCCAATAGCTACCTACAATTATCGATCAATACCCTAGACCTAGGTCATCGGCGAACGTTCCGCTGGGTATTCGCCGTCGCTGCAGTCCCCTTTGCCACAATCGGCATTGCTTTTCGTAGGCATTTCGACTTCTTGGGCGATGCATAACGCCAGATAATAGTCGACACTGCAACGAAACTCAGTGTACATGGCTTTTCCGCAGATGTCGCCTCCATCATCCCGGTCTACGCCTTTCCCCAAATCTCGCCAGACTAGGCCAACCGCTTTCCTAATATCTCAAGCTCGCTCAGGCAATGAATGCAGCTTTGCCCGTGGCATCCCAATTCACCGTCACCTAGGACCGAATGGCCCGTCTCATGCCGTCCACGCCAACTATTGCCCGAGAAACTTAAGGCAGCTAGGGCTGGGTTTGTGCACATGCTCGAACTTGGAATAATCTGCTATTCTGACAGTCGGTGGACCTCTCTCCTGCAGATGGTCTCCAAGAAACCTGGTGACTGACGCCCTTGCGATGACTACTGCGCACTCAATCGACTAACCGACCCAGTTAGGTATTTTATCCCCCACATGCAGGACCTTATCGCATATCTCACAGGTAAGACGATCTTCAGCAACGTCGATCTGGTTTGCGCCTTTCACCATATACCCGTAAAAGAAAATTCCATACCTAAAACAGCTGCTATCACTTCTTTCGGCTGGTTTGAATTTTCAAGAATGCCATTTGGAGTATGCAGTGCCGCACAAACCTTCCAACGCTTCCGCCACGATGTCACTCGTGTCCTAGGCAGCTTATTCCTACCTCGATGATATTTTAGTAGCCAGTTCATCGCAACAAGAGCACTTCAAGCATCTTCGAAGTCTCTTTCAACGCTTGACCCAACACGGTGTCATAATCAACCCGACTAATTGTGAACTCGGTAAGTCAGCGGTAAAATTCCTAGGCCAATTCGTTTCATCGTCTGCTATCGGAATCCTTACTGAAACGATCCATGCAATCAAGGACTTAACAGCTCCGACTTCGTTCAAACACCTCCGTCGATTTTGTGGTTTGGTCAACTACTGTCCAAGCTTCATGCTGCCCTGCACTCATCTCATGCAGCCTCTGACAGTCCTACTCAGAGGGAATGAACCTGAGTTCGCTTTCCCTGACACAACACAGGCAGTTTCCTCCCAGCTCAAGGATGCTATCTCCAACATAGCCTTCCTAACTCATTCCAAATCGACTGCATCCCGTTCTATTACAACTGAGGCGTCAGAAGTCGCAGTATGAACGGTCCTCCGACAACCTGTTGGTGGGCAATGGCAACACCCTGGGTTCTTCTCCAAACAGCTAGAGCCAGCGGAATCGCGCTACAGCACTTATGGCAGACAACTACTTGCGATCTACGTAGCTATTCATCACTTCCGGCACACACTCGAAGGCCGAGCTTTCAAGGTCTACACTGATCATAAGTCCCTCATCTTCGCCTTCAACTCTGATTCTGACAAATACTCACCACGGGAAAAAAGACACCTAGATTTGTCACGAAGTTCACCGCTGATATGAGCCATGTTTCAGGTGTCGACAATCCCGTCGCCGACCATCTCTCATGCTTCTATGTCACTCTCCAGTCTTTACCTACCGCCGACCTCGCCGCCATGGCATCGACTCAGGCCCAAGATGAAGAGATACAATGCACCCTGCAGTCTACTTTGCTTCAGGTGCAACCTGTTCCTTTCCAAACCACTAAAGGAACCACCCTCTGTGACAGTTTTATAGGCTGTCCTAGACACCTCGTGCCTGTCTCCTTCAGACGCACAGTCTTAGACGTACTGCACTCACTATCTCATCCCGGTATCCGGGCATCTTTGAAACTGGTCACCACACGTTTCGTTTGGCCACTCGCAAACAACGATGTTCGCACCTGGGCTCGCGCCTGCCTTCAATGCCAGCGCTCCAAAACACCTCGTCACACACACATTTATTTTGGTTCATTTTCCATCACCAACCCACGGTTCTGGCATATACACTTAGACCTAGTGAGTCCGTTGCTTCCCACACGCGGATTCATATACATTCGTGTATGTGTCAAACGCTTCACCAGATGGCCAGAAGCCATTTCCGTGACAGACTACACAGTTAAGATTGTCATGCTGGCCTTCTTAGATCGTAGGTCTCGAACTACGGACGCCCAAGCACCATTTCAACTGACCGAGTAACTCCTTCGAAGCTTCCCAATTCGCGACGTTCTGCAACGTTTTAAGCTGCCGCCCCATTCATACCACAGAGTATCACGCAGCAACCAACAGTTTAGTTGAACGCAAATACAGACTGCTAAAAGCCTCCCTCTGCGCCTCCTCTGGCCCCTGCTGGAGTGAAAAAGTTTCGCTCGTACTCTGGCATTAGCAACATCAAAGCTGACTTGCAAATGCGCACTAGCAGAGCTGGCTTACGGCACAACGCTCAAGTTTCCAGGAGAATTCATTTCACCTCCCACATCGTCTGGTACGCGTCCGCCTAACTTTGCGTCCCCATTAGCTCAAAGCATGCGTTCACCAAGCCAGACTCCGCTCCGTGAGCAGACTAGAGATGTGCAATTGCACAGCGGATTCTCTACCCGCAGTCACATCTTCATCCGCACCGACACAGTGCTACGCCCAGTACAGCCTTCCTACACTAGCCTTTTCAGCGTCCTGCAACGGACTCCGAAATATTTCACTTTATGCCAGGATGGTCCACGAGCAACCGTGTACACCGACTGTATCAAAGTGGCTTTCTTTGACGGACTATTTGCAACCCATCCTGATGCCATCACACAAGCTCCCGCACTTGCGGTGACTTCCCGGGAACTGGATACCCCGAAACCTTCCGCTCCCCTGGACCCTCAACCTACTACCTCCCCTCAAACTCAGGCAATCGACCGACACGGTAGATAGATCAAACGTCCGGTACCTTTTACAGGTGTTGTGAAAGTTTGTTATTTCCAGTAACACGCCTTTTTCGTTTTAAGTGGTAATCTTGCGTCTCATCCAAAACGTTTTTTAAATCGATAAAAAAACCCAAAAAGTTTAAAAACCAAAAAAGCATTTTTGCTGCTATCATGCAAGTTACGTTCCCGCTCCGGCGTCAAGCAAACACCCCGACCCTTGCCCATCCCCTCTGAGTTCTACTTTCCAGAATGTCAACCACCTGAACTACTAAGGCAATACTCGAGGGACTCGCCAACCGGCTCAACCCAACCCCGGAGTGACTTCCTAGCCGTCCCAAGACCCCGTTCCTAGCCAAAGGAACAGTCAGTCGCCCCCGAACACGGAAGGCTACGAACGGATTGATCCCCAAACGCATGGCTAGAAGCTGTCGATGAGGACAAGCGGATCTCTTCATGGGACGAGGACGCCAGGATTTCTTCGTGGAACGGGGACGGTGGACGGGAGTGCGGTGGGGGAGTGACACCAACCAAGTACGCCACCTGGTCTACAGTGGTGGAAATGTCCTGTCGGCCTATTTTCTGGACCAGCCATCTTTTTACAATCCGACCAGCCAGCCCCGACGGCCTACAGATGGTGCAATCTGACCCACACCATCACCATAAATAATCAATGACAAAAGCCTAGACCAATCTTGAAAGCCCGTATTCAAGCCCATGCAACTACTCGCACCCATCCTCACCTCCCGTTTTCTTCCGCTAACAGCTCCATCTAAGGCTTCCACCCTTCAGCTTTCCAGTGCGAGGCCCTTGTAGTTTACGGGAAACACGGTCTTTAAGTATTTTGTAATCTTGAAATTCTCCGACGTTTTACCTTTCAAAACGTCCACTTGTTTTACTGACGGCGCATCCGTTGGCGAATTGTTTTGGTGCGTATGTTGCTGCACCGTTTTGCGCTCTGGTTGATTCGCTCCCTATTTTTGTAGTCTGCACAACACACGTTGGGTTCAGTCGCCTCCAAACTATACTGTCCCGTATTTGACACCTATCTTATGTGCCGTTGAGTACAGAGTGGTATCCCAGGCGCCACCCAACAGAACAGATCACAGCCAACTCTGTACTGCTGATGTCACCTCATTTGGTGGCAAAAATCTCGCTACCAATTTGCGAACATTTCACTTTTTGATGCGACTCGTCCGAGAACTACTTTAACTAGCAGCCGCAAACTGACACATTCCATACAGTTGTGTTATGTTTGCCACCACAACGATAGAGCAAAATTAACCCGAGCTGGACTGGTGACACGCTGTATCATAAGGCTACCTGTAATTCGAAGACAAAATCGAAAAAGTTTTCTTGTATCCGTAATGATTCATACGGGCAGAAGTTACACATAAATGTTTTGTAATGGTCATGCACCGAGCCTCTCCTAACAGTGGCAGCATTGTTGCATTGAGAGATTAGGTACGGTTAAAGTAACCCGTTATTATTTGCGCTTTTACACATAATATGGCTTGGTAAAAATGACAGATATGAATGCACAATTGGGATGAGCGTTATGGCTTAAATTGAGCGACAATACTACTGTGTTCAAAAAATTGAACTTCTAAATTATTGAACCAACCGACTAGTGAGCGTACGTGGAAGCATGTTTCGACAAAACCTAGATATTCATCACCTTTCTTCTGAACATAAGTTGGCCATTGAGGTGAGCAGTTGCACAAATTTCTCGTTGGAATTTCGTCAAAGTAATAATGAAAGATCTTGAAGAGCAAGGTGTGTGTGTAACCTTTTGTTACAAACTGGGAAATACTAACAAAGATATTTCACTTGCATAGCCAAGCATATGAAGAGGACTGAATGAGTTACACACAAAGCTTGCTAATTGTGCAATCCTGTGCTCTGTTTTAAATTGAACTTATCCCATCACATTTTTGTGTCACCTCTTCGGAAGTCCGCTCAGTCGACTCGGATCACCGAGCTCCATCCAACGGGATCTATGTTTTCAAAGTAAGTCCAACGACACGTTGGTACATCACAAACGACGTCCTCGGAAATCTATTCATTAAGGCCAACGTATGTAATTTTGCTTATTTGAGTTTCATCAGTATCTTTGAGATAACATTCGACAGGGCTTCTTTAAGGCTGTCAGATAACATATAAGTTAATACTGTGCATCACTCTATATCACAACTACAGACTTTTTGTCATCTCACCTAAACACCGTATTGTTACTTGCAGTTCACTGTCCAAAGCTTGTGTGATTTTGGCTGCCCGTGAGCCTAGTAACGCAACATTACCAAACCCGTTGTCCGAAGCATACAGCTGATGCAGCCCAAACGACATGGCCAACGCAACCTAAAGGTGCAAACGAACCATTCATTCAAGGACCGTGGAAGTTTATCAACCTGGAATCTAGTGAGTAACAAACCGAAGGTCAATCATAGGTCAGACAAGCGGGGAACAGAGATCACATCGAAAATCATGCGTTCGTTCTGTGCAGATTCCTAGGACACAACAAAAGTGAACAATCTGCGTAACGGAGGTAACAGCGTATCGACAGATAAGTTGTGGTTTTGTGACACCTCCAGGTAGTCCGGTTTGCACTGGGTGCGGGTGATATAGTAACTTGGACGCACCCACGAAGTGGTCACGCTCACCTACTGGACTATGTCCTCGTACGCCTGCGTGACATACTTGAAGTGCGCATGAAACGTGTACCGCGTGGAGCTATGTGGCACTGATCACCAGTTGGTGTGGAACAAATTGTACAAATATTTTCGTAAATCTGTATTGCACTCCTGCCATGAACCGGCGTAAATTTATCCTTTTCTCCCTCGGTACTATGGAGAAGCGTATTGAGCTGGAGAAGGCGTTGACGGATTTTGTTTTATTTCAGGTGATTGGTTTACTATATGTTGTAAATGCTTGCTCTGTTAAGTCATTGAAATATCTGTCTGAATAGGCTTCTTTTTACTTACACAGGTCGCTTAAGCATATTTGCTTTGAGTTCGCTCAATTTTCGCGTTTGTTGCACTTAAAAATATCTTCCTCTGATGAACTTATCGTGGCTTGTTACTAACCAATTTATTGCATATGCTATTTTGCGAAGAGTCATGTTGGTTTATTCATATGCTTTTTCAATAACTATGTGTTGATGTTATTCTTTAAATGATTGCATGTCGTTTGACATCTCCGATGTGGCTGCGTTTGATGTGCATGCTAACATGGTGCCTACTGTAAGACTAGTAACTACAAGTCCGAGACGGTGCGTGAAAGTAAGCGCGGATATCAGTAGGCAGTTGGAGTCAGACACAGCAGACTGTGTTCGATGGGCTACAAGAAGACGCGGACGGATGAATCATGACAGGAGGTACACGTCAGCGCGGGAAGTTACAAGGCGGTCTGGTGTCGAGCCGGTTTTAAGGAAGAAAGTATAATGTACGTAAACGATAGGGGTTATCTTGTTCGGTGCTACACTGCCTGTCTAACACTCTCCACCACGATTACTGGCTCCAGGAGACTGAAATGTTGTTTGGGGACAGCTTGCACTGTTCCTGTGGTCGTGCTTGGTTTAAAGAGTAGTTCCATCCAGTGTGGAGCGGACTACGGTCCAGCCAAAGCTTTGTGTGTGCTTGATTCCTCAAATACATTGTGCTTTTATTTGCGTGTGAAGGAGTGTGGGCAGGCTCCGGTTGTCAAACGTGGTTCCTATCCACATGCCTCCCGGTCTTATTCCTTCGGGTTTACACTGGATATGGAATGTGTGGATGGAGCTGTGGATGGTGCAACGCAGACCACACATGGTCCCTCTGTAGGCGCAGGCGTCTTTTTGTATTCCTATGGAGGTCAGGGTGACAGGCAAATCCTCAACCGGATGCTGCCAATAAAATATTTAGGTGGGGTCTGTTTATATGTTAATCTCTATCCATCATACAGCCATCATTTAGGTGATTCGAGTCCTATACTTCCACTATTCGCCGTTGAGTTCTTAACAAATAGCACTGGGTGGCTGTAGTGGACTTGTTGGAAGCAATTATCCATCATTTGGAGAGATCCGTCCAGTCGTGGCCAAAAGTGGCAAGAGAGAAACAAGCTTATGATAAGGGAATGAAGGAACCGTAAGAAGAAATGTTTGGCCTTCGTCCGACCTTGTCGAATTCAGATCGTCCAAAATTTCACTGGAAACACCCTCAGAAATGTACCTGTTTTTAATATTCCAATCAAATTATTGAGATAGCTGCAGCAGCTATGGGATATCAAAATGGGGAGTTGATGCAAAATCAGCTTGTATGGCGCTTAGTAATGTTTTAGGCACACAAGATATTGTCGCTAGGGATGGAAGGAAAACTGTATGTAGTGTAAAGCAAGTCAACTGTCGTTCCAACAGCTTAGCAGCGTTCGGTAAGTGGAGAAACTGATTTTACAAAAGTAAGCTTTCAGGGTGATTGTAAGCATGGGTGATCCCGGTGGGTTTTCGGATGGTATCATCAACTGAACCTATCCAAAAGCAGAGAGATAATAGCTATGATGATTTCGCTGAGCACGGAAAATGCAGCACGTACGTAATGAAGGAAATGTACCAAGATATTGAACTTATATCCATGTTGCATCTACTTTGTATGAACATTCATCTGTCATACTTGGTCGCAGCATACTAATTGCTGTTTCAACGTTTAGAAATGAATGTATAGCGTGACGAAGCATCATCCCTGAATGCATGTCAAATATCTCAGCTAGAAGTCTGTTCATTAAAACGGACCTATTCGTGGGATTACCTGGAAAATTGCAAAGCCAAAACACGGGATATTGAAGTACGATGCCAAACGTCTACTTTGATAAATCAAGAGCCAACTAATGGATCCATTGTATTCACGCTTTAAAATAAGCATCTTCAGAATTTTTTCCATGCGGCTAGTTGCAGTTGAGCTAGTTCAAGACGAGTGGCGTTCATGTAATGGAAATTAAATAATGAACCTCTGAACAGTTAACAGAATGACTTTGCAAGTT